TTTGTAGCCTTGACTTCCTGGTCTGTAAAATGAGATTGGCCATAGTCATGGCAAACTGGTACCTGTGAAGTGCAGAAAGCAAGCCCTGTTCATGACACATTGCTTTATAAACAGGAGCTCTTACTGTGGACCTGAGACAAGGCCTTAACTGCAAGTGCTCTGCTCAGGGAGGGCTGGGGAGATGGGCCCACATGCACAAGTGGAGGTACCTGGGCTGAGAACATCTGTGACTTGAGGGCCAAAGGCAAAGTTTTGGAAGTCAAATCCAGTTCTTTTGTCTCCAGGGATTCACACAGAAAGCTGTGAAGCCAGCCTAGGATGGATGTCCTGTCTCCTCAGTAATTACAAGATCCCTTGAGGCAGAGGATGTGGGAAGGGTCCACTGAGAGGCCCTGGCCTTCAGGAAGCTGTTGAGGGGGTGGGAAAAGTGGAAGATGACCTGGGGATAAAAGCAGCAGTAGCACCCTGGCTCCAGGCACCCAGTTGCTGTGAAGGAGGAAGCAATGACCAGAGATGCTGAATTAATGAACTTGTGGGCTGAGAGGGAGGTGGGAACTGCTGCCCAACCCCATGGAAATCCCCAAGGTTGGTAGCTGTTTCCCCATTATCCCCTTCTGGTTCCTTTGAGTTTTAAAAATCATTTAAAAATTATATTTATTGGGGCTGGAGGGATAGCTCAACGGTTAAGACCACTGGCTGCTCCTGCAAAGGACCTGGTTCAATTCCCAACACCCCCATGGCGGCTAGCAACCATCCATGACTCCACTTCCATGGGATCTGATGCCTTCTTCTGACCTCCACCCTGTGCACTGCATGACACAGGTGCACTCACATACATGCAGGCAATACACTGATATGCATAAAATAAAAATAATGCATAAATTATTTTAATAAAAATTACATTGGTTTATTTATTTTAGTGGTGGGCGGAGTCAGAGGACAACTTAGGGAAGATGATTTTCTCTTTCTACCATGTGGGTTCTAGGAATGGAACTCATCAGCTTTGGTGACAAGAACCTTTACCCGCAAAGCCATCTCGAAGGCTCCCTTTGACTCCTTCTCTTCCTCCTCTCCTTCCTCTTCCCCTCCTCCCTTTCACACTCTCCTCCTCCCC